ACTATAAATTAATTAATTAAAATTAATAATTACAAAATCTGAGATTAAAAACACTTAGGAACTAGCCCCGGAGCATCGCCCGGGCCTGAGAGCTAGTTTTTCTTATAAAACTGCTTTCTGCGTATTATCAAAAAATTTTCCTCGTGAAATTTTACTATCCCTTAAACTGTTTTCCAAGTAAATTGTCCCAGAAATTTCATGATTGATCTGTGATTAAGCTATCAAATTATATTGAATTGTAGTCTAATCGTAAATCGTAAATCGTAGTAGATACGTAGTTAAGTTGACAGTCTAAGGGATAACACCAACCTACTGGTGGGATCCTAACCCTAAACTAATTGCGAAAAACTTTTTTAATAAGATCGCATAGTCGGCAAAATATTTTAGGTGGTGATGTCATGGGCAGAAGTTTATCTGTTTAGATAATAAACTCTATATAGTCATAATAAAATGAAATAATATCTAACTGTTGTACCCGTCACGTACATTGATAAGTTTAAGGTATTGTAAGTAGGTTAGGCTTAGAGGTAAATCGCAATTTCTTCAAAAATCCAGCGCGAGATTCAGTCAACCAAAAAAAATAGGTTTTCATCTAACTCTACCTCAGTATCGATTTTAAGACATTTAAGGGCAACAGTTAAATAATTATTTTTTTGAAAACCTCCGGTGCTGATTATTTTGCGGTCTGTAAATTTGTTGTATTCAAGTTTATTAATAAGTCCCTCAGAAATGGAGTTTCCCATGATTTTTTGTATGCCAAAAAAAAAAGTATGTCCTTATAGTATGCACTATATACACACGCTTTTTAATTAGTAACTAAGCCTAAGTCTTTAGGTGTTTCTTATTTTTGTTTGTTTTGGTTGCTTCCTATCTTTTGAACTACAATACACAAATAAATAATATCAAATACAGGAATAACAATGATTTAATTAGTGATGTTAATTCTATCAAATTGGCAGGTAGTAGCTACCACTATCGGTAGATCTACTAGTCAAGTACAAATCATGATATTTATAATTAATTATATAATTTTAAAAATTCTATTCTATTATTTAATTGGTATCTACCCTGCATATAATTTACCTAACGGTATCTACCATTATCTACCGTTAGCTATCAACTCACATCATTAGATATAACTGTTGTGTATAAAATATAAAATAGACAGTAATAAAAGAAAAAAATAGAACAAGACAGAACATTAAAGATATTAAACTAATAAAGAATTCATTATTAATTTTATTTATTTTTAGTTACGTGCTTGTTATTTTTTATTGAATAATTTAATAGTATGGGTTGTTATTATTTTAATAATTAAAAGTACATGTTTATTGGTTGAATAAATAAATAAATGTACATTTTTATTGGTTGAATAAATAAATAAATAAATAAATAAATGTTTTTTGTTATAATTAAAACAAATAAATTAATAAGTATTTTACAAATAAGCCTATACGTATTAAAAATATATAATTTATATAAACTAATAAAAATAAAATTATCAAGTACGAACTGTTACTTAGTACCCATTAGATAATAATTTGTTAAATAAGTTTTTTATGAATATATATTCACGCATTTATTTAACTAGCTAATAATATATTAGTTTTATATTTAATTCATCTTCTTTTAGTTTATCATATATTTTATAAATAGCTATTTCTGCAGCTGGTTTTTTAATTTGATTATTTAGTCCTTTTTTGCTAAGTTGAACCTTTGTTCGATTTAATTCTACTTTTATAGATTGTAAAGCCTGTTGATAATTAAATATTGATTTTTCCAATAAAGATTTTTCTAATTGTAATTTCTGAGTATTTCTTTTAACATGAGATAATTCCTTTTGAGAGTTGTTTAATTTACAAATACTAGCTTTCAAAGCTTTTTCATTTGCGATATTTTTCGGTATTTTCTTAGACTTTTGAGACTTGACTAATTGTTCTTTTAACAACTCATTATCATTTTTAGTTTGAGCTAAATTTTCTTGAGAATCATTTAGTCTTTGTAAAGTTAAATCATAAACTTCCAAAGCTTTTTCATTTGCCATTTTCAATTCATTTAATTCTTCTTCCTTACTTTGCACGTCGTTTTGAACTTTGACTAATTGTTCTTTTAGTAACACATTATTATTTTTAATTTGAGCCAAGTCATCCTGAGAAACATTAAGTTTTTGTAAGGTTAAATTATAATCTTCTAAAGTTTTTTCATTTGCCTTTTTCAGTTCGTTTAATTCCTCTTCTTTAGTTTGTATGTCCTTTTGTACTTTGATTAATTGTTCTTTTAATGATTGATTATGTTTTTTAGCTTGAACTAAATCTTCTTGAAAATTATTTAATTTATTAACTTCAGTGTCTAAAGTTTCTTTCAGATTTTGTAAACTTAAAAGGTGATCATCAGAAGATTTTTGACTTGCTCTTTTCAATTCGTTAAATTCTTCTTCTTTATTTTGTAGGTCATTTTGAACTTTAGTTAATTGCTCTTTTAAATCTTTATTTTCAGTTTGAAGAATAGTATTTCTTTCTTCATAAGCATCTATTGATTTAATGTCTATAAATCTGTCATTAACATCATCATAAATGATTCCTATAATAAAAAAATTTTTTATTAAAAATTGATTAAAATATATTAGAATAAACGAATTCCTATCCGGTATATTTTATTAATTGGATTTTGCAGTTATCAGCCATTGCCTAATTTTTTTCAACATGAATTAGCACATTGACAACGGCAAAATATAATTAATATAAATGCCAACTAAAATAGCACAACGAAAATTTGGCACGTGAATACGATTAAGACGCAAGATCTGGTGGTACATGGTTTTTTTGAAAAATTGATGGCAACGAAAACTGTCTTTTATGTTTTAAAAATAAATGGTTCTTATAAAATTCCAATATGAGATTATTATCTAATTAATTTTAATCCTAATGACAAAATCTCCATTTTATACGATTTAATATTTGAGACCCATTAGCTATGTTCACGTGACTAAACTTCTTTGCCGTTGCTAGGACACTCGGAAGACGGATAAGAATACAGGGAACGTAATGCCGAGACACTATAATGATTCCTAGTAAAGCACTATCGCGCCTTACTATCATTAGAAACATTATGTGCCTTACAAGTAATTACGCATGCGGATGGTCGAATTTTGCATAAAATCCGACCAATCAAATTGCATTTGCAAATACCAAAATTCGTATCTTATAATGATTACCTGTATATTTGAACTTTTTCTTTCCAAAATTTACTTCTATAGACCCGCCATGTGATTCCAGTCCAACACAAGGATACAAAGCAGTTTCCGCTTTCAAATCTAAGTTTCGGAAATTCGCATTTCCTTGAAATTTTCAAAAAAAAATTTCAATTAATTTTATATCACAGTATTAATAACAGAATTCAGAATTAATGCAACAGTTACCGAGGTATGTCCCATTTTTGGTAAAGAATACGGTATTGTCTTTGAAGTTTAAACAACATCCGACAGTATCACCAGTAGAAAACAACGGCCCATACGATTTACCATTTTTAGTAACCTCAAAAATTTTTCCATCATCGCCGTGATAACCCCATGAGCCAGATTTTCCATATCCTATATATGAAATATTTTATTAATAATGACTACGTATTTAATAAATATAATAAGTATTCAATTACCAGGCAGAGAGTTTAGATCAATATTTCTTGTACAAAATCCAATTCCAGTTACTCTTTTAAAAAATATGCATAAGTTTTTAACGTTTATTGATTATTGTGTAAAAAATAGTAAATTTGTTAAAGCTTACTCAGAATCTCCGACGGTAACTTGAATTTCGAAATAATACAATTTATAGTGTGAAGGAATCGGATGATTTGCCCGTATCATAGAAGAGGAACGATCTGAACCTTCAAGTCATTTGTTGTGTTATAGATATTAGCCATAAGTCGAGTGTTTTATTAAATTTCATAATTGAGATTATGAGGAGCAATTATCTTACCTGTGTAACTCACCGTAAGCCCATCTGGGCTCACACTCAAATAATGATATTTATCTTCAGCATTCCACATACTTGGTGAAGTCATATCGAAATATTCAAATAAATTTTATATTAAATAATTAGTAAAGTCTGGAATTTATGTTTTAAAAGAACTAAATCCTAGACTAATAATTTATAAATATAAGCGTATCGGAAGTAAATTCCGTGTACTGCTTTAAACAAGAAGGCGATTATAAGAATGTTATTTAACTCATTCTGTTATATTCATTAAACGGTTTTTATAGTAGTTAAATATACATGCCGGATCAAATCGATAACATTCCTCGTTGACTATGAACGAATTTGTTTATTTACGCTTTCCGAATAGGAAATACAAATAAAAACTAGGCGCAAGCTATATCCATTATTGTATTGCTGTATCTATTATTCACACCCCTGTGTACTTCGTTCGAGACATCTTAGGCGATTATTATAGGAGTTGTGAGATTGAGTGTAATTTAACGATTCGATATGATTGGTTAGATCAGTAAACTTTATGCATTATGCATGCAGAGTCTATAGTAACTTATGCATAATTATAGTTTGTGATTAAGAAATAAGAAAAAAGAAAATAGAAGAAAATGAAAGAATTTTTATAATAAAGCAACCTTTATAGGACATTAATTTTAAAAATAGCATATACGTTGCTATAGTAGCCACTTGTAGATATTTAATTTGTAAAATTTAGTAATGATCGGCACAGAGTCATAACATTTGTTTGTTTCTATGCTGATTAATTATTAATTGTGTGGCAACATGTTCTTTTTTTCCAATGAATGGTTACTTTTCGCCGAATAAACAAAAACTCATGAAAAAAAAATTATATTATTGTATATCTACAAAGTTATGAATTTGTTTACAGATTAAGTCTATAGCGAGACCTTTAGTAGTTTTGGATTTTTTTGATGGTTCGCACTATATAGAGTTTTAATCACGAATAATCTAATTTTACCTAAAAGAAAAAAAGTTATGTAACTGAGCTTAAATTTAAAGTACAGCTTTGATTATCTTGTAACAATGATGGCGATTATTATTATATTTATCAATTTTGTTTGTTGTTCCAACACTATTGTTTACTATACAATGTCGAGTGAAGTTTTAAATATTACAAAAAGTTGCCGATCGTTTAAAAAACCCCAAAGTTTTTTAAAAGAAAAATTGCCTCTGTAAGTGCTTAAAACAATTCAAAAAGGAAATATGAGAAAGAGAATAAAAAAAATTTTAATACCAAAGTAAATTCTATACTTTTAAGTGAACCATCAATGATTATTTAATTTCGATATCGACAATTGAATGAAAATTTAAAGGGTGATATTGGATTCTTCTTTAAATGTTGTGTCAATTAAATATTCCTATTATTAACGATATTTGGAGAATTTAAAGCGCAACTATTTATAATTATTTATAAAAGTTTAATAAACTACGATTAGATCTTATCTGTTTTATTCTTGTTAACCAAATAATTTCAGGGAAAATTTAACGAAAATTATCACCATGGCGTATCAAAACAAGTCATAAACAAGACAAATATTTGGCTGATCATGGTCGTAAAAAGTAATTGCTTTGTATACAAACATTTTGTCGCACTTGTTGAAATTATGGAGTGTTTTTTTTTCATAAATATGAATCTTTTTTTTTTTTTGTTATCCAAATCTAAAATTTCAAATTACAATTTGCTAAAAATGAAACTTATCCAAAGTCGACCAAATGATTTGAAAGCTAATTACGAATCAAGGAAGACAAAATAATTAGTAATTTCACAAATTTAAGTATAATAATGTGGTTCCAATTTCAGGTAGCGAAACAATTGCTGATGAGATAGGCGTTGAATCAAATTCCAGAAATGATAAATTTGTAGTTGAAATCATCGAATGGATGTCAAAATAGATAATATAATTGTATATCGATATGCATTTTATGATTTAATAAGGTTTAGCAGTGATATACAACAGGCACTTTAATATCTTTTACAGGGGGATCTCCAAAATTCCGGGTCGGAAGGCATCTGAGCTAGGCCGGTATTTAGTAAAACTAGTTAGCACAGTCTACATCATAGGCAGAAATTCGTCTGATTGGTTAATGTAAATTAATTGCCCGGGTAACTTATTTATGTGTTTTAGAGTACTTTTTGAGAACACAACATTACACAAGTACCCATTCTTAACAAACATTATCCTTAGCTTCTAAGAAGTACTAGAAAGCTAACTTTAAAAATAATCTCTAATAATCTCTAATTTAAGAGGGGTTGGCTTAGACACGACTTTCCGCAAGAGGTAAAGAAAAAAAAGCTACGTCTAAATTTTAAAATGCACAAAAACAAAAGTAGTTATTAACAAAGCAGTTGTCTTTTTTCTTAAAGCTTGAGATTTCAAGTTAGGCGTTTGAAGAAATAAGCTTGTCCGCGTATAGGGTCTATGCTTTATATTTAAGATATTTTTAAGTCTATTTGGTTTGTTAAAGCGTATGGATTTATTAACTATAGATAGCAACCTGGGTTTATAGATTGATTCGAGCTTTGTTTTACCATTTTGACTCTACTCTATACGCATCTATCTATCTTTTATGCGTATATAAACCAATAAATCATACGTATTTATCGATTTGTATGAACTTTTTCTTGAAGTTTTCGCTTTTAGAACTGCAATATTATAAAAATAACGAATTGCAAATTGTATGATTTGATTGGCTAATAATCACATGTAGATCTACAAATTGATCTACGAAGCTAGCCAATCAGACAAATTTATTCTACCATAAATAAGCACCACACCATCTACCCCATTTTTTTAAATGTCAGATTAACGGACATTGCAATGAGATCTTTAGCCAAGTTATTTCCGCCAATCTGGCATTTAAAAAAATGAGGTAGAGGGTGTGGTGCTTATTTACGGTAGAATACGGTATGACAGCTGGGAATTTTTTCATAATCGATCAATTCCGGCCCAGCTGATTAGGATTCTGATGCCTTCCGATCCAGATTTTTTGGGGACCTTCCTGTGATTGGTAGTGTGAGCAGTGGGATTGTAACGCTGGAAGCTCGTTTAGGCAGGTGATCGGTGTGGCACAGTAATGGACCATCGGCTATGTCGATCACCTACCTTAAATGGG